AGTTGTCAGGGATCCTCCTATGTCACGCTGCTACGGGACTCTGGAAACAGCTCCATGGTGAGGTGATGTCCTCTTGGAAAACTCTGGTGCACTTGGAACAAGTCCTCGGACTTTAGACCACTTGGCAAGGACACTGTAGTTTCCACCCAAGTAGTGCAGGCTGTAGGAAAAGACAACTTCTGCTTGGCCAGAACAAATCCCTTGTATCCAGAAGACAGAAGATGAAAAGCAGAAATGGACAGTCACAGACAGGAATAACATCTAAGACTTTGCGTCAGTTGTCTCACCTTGACTTATGTTCTGTAACAAGGCATATTATTCTTGATGGTACTCCAGATCAGTTAAAAGAAAATTTTGCAACAGTTTCAGCTAAACTTAAAACTGGAACACTTCTGCATAGCTAACATAAAAAAAATGCACTGTGTGATTCATATTATTTTTCTTTTGTATTATGTTATTTATGTTGTTCCCACATTTCCTGGTACTTAAAATACTTTGAAATAACTGCCAGCACATAATTACACAGTTCTGTTTGTCGAGAAATGTAGTTCTGAGTTTGGCATTTAGGATTTTGGAAGCTAGGATACTACCAGAGAAAGTTTGGATTGCAAAAATGCTGAATAATAAAAAAAGAATATTTGTCTATAAATAATCTTAGTAGACTTAGAATTCCTCAGCACTGAGGTAAATTAGGCAAGAGACTTCTCTGGTTTGCATATGCTTCATTTTTATTCTGGTAACTATAAATACTAGAAACCTAACTTCTCAATGAAATCTTAGGACCTGAAGCCACTTTGACCAGGGGCAGAGACCAGTGCAGTGCAGTTCTGGTGGCAGGGGCTGGTGGTTGAAAGAAAGGTGAGCAGAGATCAAGTGTTGCCATTTGGTAATGCTGTGAGCTGCACATACCTGTGTCAGTAGCTCTGGCTCTGTGGCTGACCCTGCCTACAGATGGTCACCTGGATTTACTCAAAAATGTACTTTTCCTCTGAGTTTGCAAAGTGTCCTGCTTGTGTTCAAATATCGGTTTTTGTTTTCACTTTCCCATTGTTTGTACAAGCACCTCGCAAGACCCCAGAATGAGACTAATGGACTGGGAGGTGACAATTTCCTTCATGAAATGTGGTGGGCTTCTGTTTTACAGTGGCTTGGCTTGCCTTCCTGCCCTGTCCAGCATTAGGGAGAAAAGCATCTGACCTGACATTGCTGGAGTGAAACAATCCTGTTGGCTTTGCTGCTCAGGGTAGCAGAGGCCAGTGCCATAGAAAATGGAAGCCCATGCATGTCTCCTGCTATTCCACATCTCTGGGAACAGATGTTCATGTGTAGCAGAAACTACAGGATGTGTGCGTGGGGGGTGCATGCTTCTGAAGTACTAGCAATCCCTTGACAATGTTAAAAAAAGAACCATTCAGACAGGGCCAGGGTGGAGGAACTGAGGGAATAACAAATGGACTGACAGTGATGGCATCTGGAAACTGCATCAGTGGATGAAAGATGCGCTTACCAGAATTAAAGCAGGAGCCATGGTATGTAGTTTTATGATGCCTACGAGTAGTATAACCTGCTTTTGGCATAAACTCTCTGTAATCACTATTCCAATGCTTTATCTCTCAGCAAGCATTTAGAGTGAAGCAGATGTGAAAATTAGATTTCAGATGCAGTAACCTGGTTTATAAATCTGCCTGGTGTATTGAAGTACGTCTCATGTATTTCTAAGGATTCATACGTAATAATGCTTGTCCTGTGCAAAAGAAAACCAAACAACCTCCTTTCCAACCCCCCTCCACTGCTGTCAGCCCTCCGTATATTTTTCAGTTATGGATTGCTGTTTACCTCTGCTTTTGCTGTGCAATGAAATCAATTCTATGCTTCAGTCTGTCCAAGCTTTTGTTAATTACTTAGTACTACAAATATTTTCATGACAAATTTCAAACATTTCCTCTTAGCGAGAATTATCTTGTAAAGGCTGCCTAATGTATGGAAAAATTATATTATACTTTTTATATTTAAAAACTTCTGAAACATCATGATCTGAAAAAATCCATGCAGCTACAATATTAAAAAAAAATACACTTATGCAGTGTATATATATTGCTTATACAGTGATATACTGCAATACGGCATACATCATATTACCTGTTAGAAGGTGATTTATATGTGTTGCTATTTTATACATCATACAGCTTATGCTATACTATTGTAATGTATTGTTCTGTGTTAATATTACAAAAATACATCATATCTCATGTGCTTAATCTGATATGAGGAGAGTAAGTGGTGCAGCTGGGCAGGTGTTTTGTAATAGTCCCAGTAGCTGCAGCTGCAGCAGCAGCAGCAGCAGCAGCAGCAGCAACGTGTTCTGTCTTTTTACCTTCTGATGAAAGCAAAACTGGTGGGGACATATTTATAAGTACAAGAAAGGCAGTTGGACTTTTTAACTTAAAAAAAAATAAATTAATTTCTTAGAGCAATGACAAGGCTCCTCTTTTGTCCCAAGCGATGGATATTCTTGATGCCAACACTGTGTCCTTTCCTGATTACAATCTGTATATGTTCAGGATCTTGGTAGGGAGGTTGGTTTGGAGATGAGGGAAAGCATTAGTCTACACCTGCAGTGTGGTACAAAAGAAGACTTTTGTAGACGTTGAGATAGTCTGATTTCTCTGAATGCCCCTCCTAGAAAAGGGGTAAGAACAGATATTTCTGGAAGACTCACAGAAAGTTAGAAGAGATTTTCACTCAATGTCATATATTTTTTTGGGGGGTATGCTTATTTCTAATGGATTTTGATGGTTGTCTTATTCCTAAAATATGAACTCCGTAAGTAAATATCACTAACTACAGCCAGATTCATAAAAGTATTTCAGGTGCTTTGGTCAAGCCCCAGAGGAAATACAGGGGAAAAAAGTGCATGTGTGATAATGGAAAGGAGAAAAGGTAATACTAGAGCAGTTACAGTTTTATTTATTTATATATTTGTTTGTTTATTTATTTTTCCCATGGAAAAAAATCAGTAGACAAACAAGATGAGATTTTGTTTTGATACTCCCACAAGTATCTTTATCTGGTGTTCTCTGGGGTCTTTATTACTTTCAGTTAATCTGTTCCATACATGTGCCTGTTTATCATGTAAATGTCATTATATTTCCTTTTCACAACACTCTGCATTAGCTTCTGGTCCAACCATCACCTTTAGGCCCAACAACTCTGAAAACCTGAACTTCACATCAGAGAACTTCTCAACTGTAAAGAGTTTCATTGGAATCAACCCGTTCCAGTTTGATGTTTCCCGTAATCCAAACCCTCAGCTGCTTGCGGCTGATTATAGTTTCTTCAAGCTGTTGCAGTTTTCTTCTGTATTTTCCATGTGTGTTAAACTTAAGGTAAAGTACTTACTTAATTGCCTGATGTTTATGTGAGACAGAATAAAGCATAACGATGGGCCAGCACCCATCTGAGGTTGCTTCAGAACTGAGTTCCCTTAAATTCTGGGAAAGCTTGGGCTCAGATGTGTGCTGAGAAGTTTGACATGTCTCTAGATGAATGTTATCACATTGCTCTTCTTTCTAGCCTGGACACTACTTGAAAAGGCATTGAGGCACAGAAAGACATTTGCAGATGTTTTATTTAATCTTTGCTCATTTTATGATTTGTACTTGGTGTTAGTAGCTCTATAAAAACTTGTTTAAAGAGAATTTAAAGTTATTAGTGCGTTTTTGCAGGAATGACAACACATGGCTCAAAAGTATCGCAGTTTACCACTGTTTTAAATATTTCACCATTGGGACACCAGGGCTGAAGGAGGGGAAATACTGGGTTTTTAGAAGCATAACTCAGTCCTTTTCTAATATGCTCAAGTATGTAAAGCCATTGAACATTTTTTCTTTTTCACAACAAGATTACATCACTTTTATTTTTTGGAATCTACTGATTCTACTTCCTTCTATTTATCCTTACCTCATCTTTATTCGTTTTTTCCTCCTTTCAACACTGGCATTAAAGTGATTTTTATTTTTAATCAATTAATAGCTCCTTCCACTCATTAGACAGTGCTGTGTAACAGGTCCTGCTGTCTAGTGACTCTGTCGTTGTCACTATGAGGAAGACTTGTTCTGTGACTTACTCTTTTCATAGCTATCATGTATCAATGTTATTCCCCAACCCCAGAGAGATTCTGAGCAGTTCAGAGAAATTATGAAGAAAATACTTTATTTTTCTTCCAGTCTGTGACACTGTGCATGTGAAATTATTCTTCATCCATTCTAATTTTAAGGAACTAGATTCAACCTTTAGCACCTATTCCTACAGTCACATCATTGTTCATCACATTCTCCCCTCTTTTAACTTTAACCTTCTCTCCCACTTTGGACCTTATTTTATTTTTCAGTTCTTTTTGTACTGACCTTGTGTTTTGCCAGATCTGCTTTGAATTACTTTGGTATTATATCAGGAAAAGTATTTATCTTGAATGAATTCTCTTAGCTCTCTCACCTCTCTGAAGATGTGGCAATGTCCATCTCTGCCAATCTGTTCCTCTGTTGCTAGATTTCATTTTTTTTTTTTTACTTTATTTTTACCATTACATACCTTGAATATAAATACACAGTTACTGTTATTTTCTCTGAACTCTCTTCATTTAGCTTATTTCTGCTAAACAATAAAACAAAATAAAACAAATGTTTCAAAAAAAAAAATTACAACTAAGTCTATGGAGGCATATCCTTGCATGTGCCTGTAGTCCTGCCCCAAAGAGCAGCCCACTTGGCTGGAGCTTACTGGAAAAAGGGAACCACCATGAAAAATGCCCCATACCTCCTCACTCTATACCTTATTGCCAAAGCACCAAACACTGAAACTGCATTGACATTTTTGCTGTCTCACTTCGCAAATTCATGGAATGTATAATTTAGCCTCTGTGTTTTGTCATCTTTTTGTATGTTAGGTAAATTTTCTCAGATTGATTGCTATCCTATCTTCTGATGTTCTGTTTCCTCTAGGTTCCTCTTGCGTGCTGGAGATGTCTGAGCTCCATAAGTTCTTGATTCTGGTGGCCCCAGGAAAGTGGCAATCCTTCATTAAGAAAGTAAGATGTAGCAAGTGGGTTGAGAAATCCTGGAAGCAGGAACTCTTGGAGGACTGTGCTGCAGGAAGCTTTCCTCTGTGTTTTTTTTTTTTGTTTAATATTCTTCTACATGATGACATTCCATTTGCTTAGGCTTGCTAATTGAGACTTGAAGAAAGTACAAATGGGTGAGTGATAGCCATTCTGTAAAGATGGTTCTTCAGGCCTTTTTTAATAAAGCTGTTTTTTTTTTTGTACTTGTTTAATGCACGGTTCTGGGGATACAGATACAAACAACATCTGGCGACTGTTGTAATGGATCAAGCCAGAGCTCTGCATGACAGTCACTGAAACAAAGAGGCATGAGAAGTTAACACCAAAGAGATCTTGGTGTTAACATAACATAATCTGTCTTGTCTTATTCTGTAAGTCTAAATACAATGTCCCAAAGAAAATGCAGAGAAGAAAAGTCCAACATCCTTGACACTGGGGACATGCCAAAAAAACCCAACAAAAACAACAACAAAAAACGCATATCTTCTCTTCACCTATCTCACTATTTTGAAAAAGTACTCAAGCATATTCACCTTATTTATATTGCAAAAACTTTATCTTCTGTATTCAGCTTTCCTTTATATCCTGCTTAGAAAAAGTTGTCAGAGAGACTCCAGAGATGGATTCTTTGAGTCATGGGGCTGAAGCTAATGGAAGCCTCCCACTCATGTCAACAAATTAGTTCACTTCCCAAGTGAGCAGCCTGAGAGTGTTGCAGATTTACAGTTTCATGCAGTACCTCTCAGTAGAACAAATGCAGCTTTATAGCTGCAGTTGGAACTGGAGGGAAAACTACAAAAGATTAATTTTACCTGTAAGCTTTTATATTATCATTTATTTGAAATTCACCTCTAAAATCTGTAAGCAGTGCTGATAGTTTATTTATTAAGGAATCTGATAGTGTGAATTGTTTAAATGATTTGTGATATATGAAGAAAAGCACGTTAATAATAAGATGTAGAACTCCATATAGGGAATTTTGTACTAAATACCATCAGGAAAAGATGGGATCAGATGAGGAACCAAAAATCAAAATGAGCATCACTGGGGTTATATAACCCTGGTTTGACTAAGGTCTTTGAGCAGTTGTAAAATTATAGTTGCCTTTGTGTCCATAGGTCCCAGACTACCTCTGGATCCTGGACTCCCCACAGTGATACTTGTCTCCACTTCGGAAACCTTATGTTGGGTTCAAGTTCATTGGGAGGTCAAGGGGGGCAATGGATTCTCCTGGAGATGGGCTATGCAGAAATACTGAAGAAGCAGAGATAAGCTGACCCACCTCTTAACAGTGTGTCATAGTTGAAATGTTATTAAAGGAAGTCTTCAAAGAATTAATGTTTATACTTTGCTATATGCAGCTTTCAACTTTTTTTTTTTTAAGATAGGAATTATAGTCAAATCTTCATTCTGTTTTCATTAAATTCATTCTTGCCTTGAAATGGGATCAATTTCTGGAAATTAAAATATTTCTGTCTTTTCTATTATTATTATTTATTTATTTAAACATATAGATTACTATAGCCTGAAATGAAATATCACAATGCTTGAAACTCATAGTTCACTTGGAATGCAGTACTATGCCTTGGTAAGATCAATTTATATAAACTCCTAAAAGTATTGATATGTGAAGCTCTCCAACAGACAGAAAAACACATTTTATTTATTTATTTATTTATTTTTTTAATGTAAACTTAACCAAAACAAAGTTTCTTCAATAACCTCAGGAAAATTAATAACAGTGAGATCTTTCCTTATATCCTTTCAATGTTGTTATGTAAAATAAGTTTATATATATATATATATATACACAAAGATATTCCAACTAATAAAACTATAACAATTGTTTAAGAAAATTTCTTAACTGACTCATTTGCTTCCCTTGAAAGATGAGAAAGATGTTGTAAAAAATATTCCTCTCCCCGCCCCTGGGAGAATAATTGTGTGCAAATATATTTTCCCTAGGGAAAATTCTGACCAAAATAATGTTTATTTACAGCTAACATTCTCCCAGAAGAAAAAAACAAAACAGTGTAGGCTTGATGCATTTATTCTCATACTCACTGGGAGGCTTTGCGCACAGGATCTTCAAATCTTCATCTACTGGTTAAGCATTATTCAGCCACAGGTAGGTATTACCTGAAATGTTAAAACAGTCTGAGATATGGAGTAGAATGCACAATATCAAAGAAGTGGAGAAAATATGTTCCTCAGCATATTCTCACGAAGATCTGAGTGTTTTTCATTCTTACCTAATTGTTGACTGCTAGTATTGAATTTCTGGGAGATTCGCTTTTATTTATTTATTTATTTTTAAAACCACTTCCTCAAATTATTTCATTTTCAAAATACATAATAGTTGACTTGAAGAGCCAACTATACACATTGAACCACAAAACATTATGATGCCTTGAGTGGGTCACACTGATGAGGATGTGGATCCCATTTAATTTTTTAGGGCGTATAGAATGTGCCTACTGTGTGGATACTAAAACTAGGAAAGATGACCTTGCTTTGAGACGGTGCTTCCACAGAGTTCTATAATACTTGTTAAAACTGCTTTATAAATAAAACATTAGAGCTTTTGACATTTAAAGGCTTCAAGACATGCCATACGCCTAACTGCAGAGCATTTACGTGAGTCATTTGCTGACCCTGCTGTTTCTTCTTAAGGTATAAACTTTTACAAAAGAAAATAAAAAGAACATGGTAATGAGCGGTAATTAGACCCAGCAATAGGTAGTGAATGCTGTTGTTTCATGCTGCTTCTCAAGCTCATAACAGTATGACTCGTTAGCACAATACCACTTGATTTGTACAAGGAGGTGAAATTCAACCTATTCTATAAATTGAATGAGATTTAAACTGTTGCTTGTCCCAGAAAACATGTATTACTCCTGATCTGCATTCTAAGCCATCTTGCTTTCTGCAGGAGAAAAGAGCAGTTAGTTACTTCGAGCAGAAGAATATCTCCTCTCAATCTTCATCATCCACATTACAGTAAGAGGATCACCATTACCTCTGGGATGAAAAAAATACAGGAAAAAGATATAATTAAGTAATCCCAAACCTAAGAAAGTAAGAAGGAGACATGTTAGAAATTAATTCGTTTTAAAGCATTTAGTACATTTTATTTGTTTGTTTACTTTTTTGCTCTCCCATCTATTGTGTATCAGAGCTGTTTTATTTCCCTCCTGAGGGGAATGTTGCAGCCATTAGTATCCCATCTCTATTGACTCTGTGCTCCCACTACTTTAATGGCACTTGCCTGCTTTACAGTTGCCTTCAAACTTATGGATGTCTGTATTTCCAGTGTTTCTATCATCTGCAAAACTGATCACACATGAATTATACCTAGAAAACACATGCTGGTTCTTATTGCTGACTGAGGCTTGGGATTTGGTTAATTAACATAACCTTCCCTGGAAATGCTGGTAAAGACTTACGGAGAGCTACAAATAACAGGAAACATCACAGCTTGAATATTGACCAGGACTGTTTGGAAGTAATATTTTCTTAAACAGAGGGTGACGAATGTCAGAGGGGGAAACAGTTCTTTGTAAATTGGAAGTTGCCAAATGCATAAACAGAGCAGACGGTGTAGCAGAAGCTCTGCTTTTGCTTTAGCAAAAAAAAAAAAAAAAAAAAAAAGCCAAAATTTAAAAGAAATACTAGCACATATCCATGAATTAGTGCTATCAGGCACTAATCTTCACCTAATGATATAATAATTGCACACAGTACTTTTGTTGCTGACATTTATTAAAATCTTGGTTAAAAAGGCCAGTTCTCTGTCTGCCATAAAGATCATGGCTGAATAGTTTATCAATATCATTTTTTCAAATGGTTAGACATACCAATCATTTCCAAACACTACAGCAAGAAACTTCTGTTGTATAATATCTGCGCAATATTCTGTTGTATACCACTTTTTGTTTCATAAAACAAAGCCTGTAATTTAATGTAATCTTTAGATGCAGGGTAGAAGCCTGCATTCTTCAGAACTTTCTTTTTTCTTTTTTCTTTTTTCTTTTTTCTTTTTTTTTCTGAAGCACAGGAAAAAAACGTTTTTTTTTGCTATCACTATGACAGTTTTTAAACCCATCAGTTTTTAATTCAGTATCCATGTGACCTCATGATAGCACAGACCTCATGGGATTGAAGGTTAATGTTAGCTTTAGGTGAGAGCTAGCCAAAACAGAAGCACTTGGATTGAAGTCCAGATTTTCCCAAAGCTACAAAAGACCCAAATCCAATTTTTTGTTTCTCCTGGGAGAAGATCTGTCTCTAAGTCCTCCTTCCTTTTCCTCCACCTATCTGCCCTTCATGCACTTCATGGATTTTCAGTAAACTTTTTAAAGGGGGGGAGAGAAAGGGAGGAGGGGTAAATTCTGCCCCACGTGGTACTTTGTACTGGGAGATAAAGGACTTAATCCCCCCATTCCATAGGCTATTAGAAGTGCTGTGGTTTGACAAGTCAACATTGACTGATGGAAATTGCTTGAGACATGCTGGATGTACAGCAGTAAAACAGCCACCAGACTACCAGACGCAGGGAAGCTCAGTGGTAGTTTAGTTTTGTCTATTATAGTAATAGTTTTGCAGTAGTATGAACAGGCTTCATTCTCGTGGCAGAGGACATAGGAGCTGGTTCCCTAAAGGGAATATTCCTTTTCCAGCACATTATATGGTTAAAAGCCCACTATTTCCTTTTTCTTTTTTTGCTTTTAACACACAGAGAACTAGAATGCCTGTGATGCTGGAATCCATGGTTAATCCCATGGAAGCAGGCTCCAGCCTCAGCAAACAATAGAGCTTTTTTACTTCCTTGACAATTCTCATATTCTCACTTTCTATGAGTAAAAAAAGTCTGCCATCATGGAAATCATTGAAATGTTCAAGAGCCTATGCCAATAACCTGGTGTCTTTACTCATTTCCATCATTTTCCATCATTCTCCTCTGCTGTTAGGTTTGAAGTTTTCTAAGCCTTGCCTTATTTCTAATTCTCGCATTGAGGACAAAACACTTCTGTAATGCCTGCCTTAACTTCTTCCTCAAGAAGACTGAAAAGGTATCACAGAGATTATCAGCATAGATTTGAGTCACTAAAAATAATCTAGGAAATGTTAAATATTACAGGATGATAGGAGCAGGAACTGGGAAAAAAAATTACCCCTACAGAATACCATTTTTCAGCATTTTTCAGCTAGGGACCTTCCTATTAGCTTATGGTTTTTCTTGACAGATGTTGCATCTTGCAGAGTCTCTTGCTAGAAGTGTTCCAGTTGATCTTCACAGGGGTTATAGATGAAGACTCCTGGCCCTTCTTCTTAGAAAAGGGCAATCTGTGCTAAATTTCTGTTGTAAGTACACAGCTGATGTGACACACAATTACAGAATGGTTGAGGTTGGAAGGGACCTCTGGAGGTCATCTTATCCAATCTGCCTACTCAAGCAGTGTCACCTAAGGCAGATGAGCTGTGGAATAGCTTGGCTGCTTGTTAAGATAAGAAAATCTGAGAAGGAAAGCAACAGGAATCAGGAAAGGATAGTGAGTCTTCTGCACCTACTTCATTGTGTCTCCTGCTTAGGGTCAGAGGGAATGCAGGAGCACTTAGAGGTTAAAGAAGCTCAAGCAGTAATAGGTGAGTAATTGTGTGTGGACAGATGGGTTATGAAAGGCTGAACAATTTTTCAGAGATAAGGGCAGAGTGGCCTGTTATGTGGCCTGAGTCATTTGCTAGAAACAGGTATGGGAGCCCTTGTATTAGTATCGTGTGAGCCCTATGGCTCTTGTGAATTTTGTTGTGTGCCGCTGTTCTTTAAGGTACAAGGAGAAGCTGTTTCAAAGGATTTTTATTTAGCTTCCCTACATGAGCTTCTTCTCAGCCTACATTTTAATGCTTGACAGCTGAGCTTTTACAAGTTTTCAGAGCCATTAATCAGAGCAGTGTTTTGGGAAGATTTTGCAATGTATATTTGAGAATTTGTATGGCACTGCTTTAAATTAAAAGCTAAGGCTTACTTTTGAGGCTGCTTTTGGCCTCTTTCCTTAAAGCATGGAGCCATGTATTATTGTTCTAAGAACCCATAATTAGTAGCAAATGTTTGCAAAATGCTAAAGGTTGTTGCTAGGGTGCTCCTTCAGGCTGGGATGTGTGAAGGATGGTTAAACCTAATTTAGATCTATTTCAAAAACTGTTTTCTTAAGCTGCAAGTATAGACCATTTTTATGCAGTGCAATACATTCTGACTTTTCAAATGGGCAACAGGAATAAAGGCATTCCTTCAGGAATAGGTATGACTTCATGTGAGCAGAAATTAAGTTCCCATTCTCTGAAGTAATTTGCCAATGAATCAGACATAAGATAGGAAACAGGACTTCAGAACTGGGAGTCTGGTGGTTGTTGTAGTTGTTTGGCTATAGTTGTGTTGATTCATTTGCCCAGAACCATTCAATTTAAAACGTACATTGTCAACTTTCTTTTTAAATAAGAACCAGAGACACGTATTTATCTGCTCTGAAGGTAAATGATAAGTTTTCTAAACTGATAGTAAAATGTTCGAGAAATATAAAAAAAAAATCCATATATATATATAGCTTTTATGAACCTTGAATGTTTCAAGTGATAATATGATGATTGCTTTTCATTATATTCAAATTCTGAAAGAACCATATAAAAGGTGTTTGATTTGTGCCAAAAGGTCTCTGAGTGTATTTTATTGCACAATACACTAGGTGCTAGCACACAGTAGCTCTTCTGGTGGAGATGATTGCCAGCCAAATAAATTGACCACCTGCAGACAGCAAAGGCTGTCCCTGCTCTTTTCAAGGTGACTGTCCCATGAGGTAGGGTGTTACAATCAGGCTGTGACATTCAGGTCTTGCTTCCAGTTCTGTTATGGATGCCCTGTGTGAGGTTGGTTAAGCCAGTTACCTCTTTGTGGTCCATTTCCCAGCCTTCTCCCTCAATGTTTGATTCCGTCTCCCTGCCTCTGCACATCCCTTTTTGCATGGTGCCTCTGCTTCTCAGCTAGGTTTCCTGAGGAGCACTTGTGCCCACCCTGGGCCCCTGAGGACACCACAAGGCCAGTTGCATCCTGTCTCTGCCCTGAGACACCTCAATGGGGCCTCACCTGCTGGCCATGCCCACTGGGAGATGGGCTCCATTGTGGCTCTGGCCTGGGCACCCACGTCTGGCCTAAGTTACATCACATGTGGAGCTTTCCAGCCAATCCCCTTTTTGACTCTATATCTCCATGAAATGGCTTCAGTGAGAGGGCCATCTGGGGTTGTTCTCCCTCAGGGAGGAAGCAAAGGAGTACAGCTTCTCTTATGGCACCATGAAGCCCTTGATAACTCTGACTAGCTTCACCTGGCACCTCTTCTGCCCATGAGCCTGGCCTGGGCAGTGCTATAGGCATGCCACTGCCCATGTCTCCTGATGTAGGAGTTGATTTCAGCCTTAGGGACATTGTGTGGTCACAGATGTGTGGCCCCCATGGATGCCTGCCTGCTCAGCCAGGGGCATCATCATGTTGGACAAGCTGCAGCCTGGGCAGCAATGGTGGTGTCAGAAGACCCATAGTGGAGCTTTGGAGGCAGGGGACAGAGATGGGAATGGGGTGAGCTAGAGGAAGGTGGCATGAACTGCTGCAGGAACAGGACCTGGGGCAGGTGCTACTGGTGATGGTCCTGTTCCTAAATGGGGGTTCCTAAATGTGGGCCAGCAATGGCAGTGGCTGACCACTCAGATTGGCTTTGGTGGTGTGGGTTTCTCTTCTCTGGCTCAAATAGTATCAGAGTGGATATAGGCAGAGGGGCATGTCAGAATTGATATGAGTCTATTGCCGTTTTCATTAGAAAGATGTGGGAAAATGAGTAAACAGTGTCTCAGAGGCCAGTAAAAAGAGTGATATTCAGCATAAAAAATATGTGCTTTCTTAAACATTCCCCTCTTTGGTCTTTCACCTGCATTTTGGTGTGAGTAAATAGATGGGCATGCAAGAGTAACATTGCAGCAGCTCAGATTTTCTGGTTTGTATTCCCTCTGTATCACTGCTCCTTGGTGTGGTTTACATGCACAGCACTTGCTGTCTGCTCTGGACTGCATCCAGCTCCCAGGGTGCCCTCACAGGATGGCAGTCTCTGGGTTATGAAAAGGCATAGAGTCTTTTGTGCTTCTTTAGTTACACTTTAATCTTGGGCAGCCAGATGCACATGGAAGTGTCTGTGCACAGTTGGTGGGGGGCTGTAATACTTCTCATAAGACTTTACTGGGCTGATACAATGGAATTGCTTCAAAATCGTTCTCCAGTTACCTGGATTGTTGAACTGAAAAAACAACAACAACCCTGCTGGTGTACAGTCCCTTCTTGAATCCTGCTTTGTTCATTGCTATTTCATTATGGATGTGGCTTCCACAGCATATGAGGGGCAGGACAAAAAAATGAATATATCCTGTAGGGGATGAAGCTCAGCCCCAGCACTCTGGTTTGCATCAGCAATTCCTAACATGCAAGTCAGAGGCAGAATGTTTTAAATGTTCCTTCTGAAATGAGTCCCAAGTGGATGAAAGATTACTATTTAATTTTACTTTCCACTCAGTGGGAAGCAGGCATCAGATAATATAAACTAGCTCAGTTACCTCTGACAATTTGCCTTTTGACAATTTGCACTAGCAGATGATCAGCCTAACTCTATGCAGTATCTGTAGTGCCAGGAGAAGCATGTTTCTGCCCTCCTGGTGTTTTCTAATGACTTCTGTCAAGCAGGATGAACATGTGGACACTTGTGTTTGGCCACTGCTCTGGAAATGCCATGGTATCCTCTAGTGGCCTGAGAAAATGCCATTCCACACCATCTTTTCCTCTTCCCAGGCGCAGCAAATTTATATGAGTTTTTTTTTTTTTTTTTGCTTCACCTATCTGGACAACTTGAAGGGAATGAATGGTCTGTCCTCCATCAGCTCTATCTGTCACTTTGTTTCCTATAAATAAACTGCAAGTGCTCATACATCAAATCTATGCTTGTTTGGATAAAGGAAGGAGCAAAGGCCACGAGTGACAGGCCTGTCAGTAATGCTAAACCAGTTCTGACTGCAAATGAGTTTAAATGCAAGAAAACTGGGATAAAGAAGCTGCTCACTTTGGAAATGCAATGTGCAACTCAGATTACAAACATTTTTCCTCTTCAGCTCATGATGAAGTTCTAGGCTTCCAGTGAAGGTTTTGTACTTCTGAAAAAATTCTAACACACTTCCATCACTGAATATTATTTGATTGCATCAATCTAGGTAATATATAGTTTGAATAAAATCACCTTGGATTGGCAGAGTTATCCATGCCAACATCTCTGGTAGCCTCACTTTAATCATTTCCGTGTTTGGAATTCTGTGCCCTGGGGCTGCAACACACCTTGCTTTCACCAAGGGTTGCCTGCTGTGCCATGCTGCAGGCATGGGCAAAGAGGTGAATGGGTCTGTTGTAGCCATGCTTCATTGTCTACATGTTTGTGTTTTTTTTTTTTGTTTTTTTTTCCACTTATATTTCTTTCTAAATTCAGTTTAACACTGACATCACTGAGTGCCTGGAGTTCAGTCATGTTTATTGTGAGCCTGTCATAATCTGCCTCTGTTCACTTGGTTCTGCATCGTTATGAGAGGTAACCAAGTCCGAGGAGATCATCTGGTCAGAGGGCCTGTTGTTAGCTATTTAAGATGCCAGAGGTGTCTTTGTTTTGTTTTACCACCTTGCTTGTAATTCTCTCAGCTCCAAACAAAAGCTGTAACATTTTGTCTTAAAGCCTAGGAACAAAGCTTCACAACCTGTCTACATTTGGAAGTAGAATTATCCATAAGCTAATGAGTCAAGGCAGTACTATTATATGTATTTTATTAGCGGAGCACAAAGAAATAAGACAACAGGATTTTCCCAGGGCACATAAACTTGTGATATGACCTGTTTGCAAGTAAAAAGGACAGACTTATCACTGATTGCTTTTTTTTGTTTGTTTGTTTTCTCCTGAAGAAACACTCAAGTTAAAACTAAAATCTGTTCCAGCATTTTTTGTTGTTGGTTTTTGTTTGTTTTTATTTACCCCATGTCTTCCCTACCTCCCTTTTAACTCCAATACCTTTTACCTTAATGAAGGATCAATGACAACCAGTTGGATTTAGGAATCCTCACTGCACAAGTGTTAACTATGAAAATGATGATTTTCAAGTGAATTCACCTGAAGAACATACTGCTGCTAATTAAAGAATCTTTAAGTATTACTCAGACTCTTGCTTATCTCCAGGCCTTGAAGTCCATGAACAGACCCCAATTACTTTCCCTTAATTCTGAGGTCAGGTGGTGCCTCGTTTTTTCTGCTTCTTTGAAGTTTCAATATAATGTTAGTCATCAGTACAGCTATGTAAACTCTGAGACAGTAGTTAGAAACAAAACAAAAACAGCAGACCGATGAGAGTTTTGGAATTAGTTTAAGCTGTATTTTTAAACTGTGTTTTCATTAGGTTTTGGTTCAGTGTTTTGTGAAGTGGTTTTTAGGCATGTGAGTGATGTAGTTGTGATGCTTGAAAGCTGCAGTTAGAAGAAAGCCTGATGGTCTTTAAAAGCTGGTCTCTTTTAGATTTGTTTTCTTTGTTTGTGGAAAGAGCTTAGCTTTTAGGTCAGCATAGGTGAGTGTGGGTGGTTTTTTTTGTTTGTTTGTTTATTTGTTTTTGAAAAGTGTTTTCTTCTGTATGTGACTTGGCTTTTTTATTTATCTTGAACTTATGAAAACGTGTTTTAATGGCAACAGGGGAAATTGAGCAGGTGTAAGAGGCTATCACTTGAGGAGTAGTACTGCAGACTAAAAATGATTAAGGTATTTTTGTTTCCTTAAAATTACACTCTAAATGTGCATTTGATCAAAAGAGGTCATGTGGCTTGTATCCTGACTGGGTGGTCCTGGGCCTGTACAGTCAAGGCTGCAGTGTGTAAGTTAGACTTCTTTTCTTGCCTCCATTTCATCTATACTCTAAGATGAAACTTATTAGACAAGAGATGCATGTGGCATCCTCTGAGAATGTGGGACAGAAGCAATGGGTGCATGCTTTTGCTTACTTATGCATCACTTACAGTATGTACAGACCAGCCAGTAGTCATCTTGTTGATGGTATGTCCTTCTCTAGACAGGAAAACACTACTATATTTTTCTTGTTATATGTAGTTAAATTAATATCTTAAAATAGTCCTGCAGAGTCCTATTGAGTATATAGTCTCACCAGTCATATGGGACATGGTATATGTAAAATACGTTAAGATATAACTATCCATAAAAACAGTACTAGTATTTTGATGGTTGTCTGCCCTTGTTTTCTGTTAAACTGGCTAGAGTATAAAACTTTATCTTTAATAAACAAAGCTTATGATATGGCTGCTGCTGCTTACGTATCTTTAGAGAGTCTGTTGTAAAGTCCTCCTGTGAAGTAGCAGAGAAGGTCTCTTCACCCCAAGTTTCAAATAGATTTGATCTTCAGGATCAGTATAGTATGCAGGGACTCTTCTAAACTTGTATGTGCAACTTCTGTTTGGCAGCTTCAGCACTTATTCTGGCACCCTGCTGCTTTTCAGAATGATAATTGCTGCAAGCTTTTGGTTTGGGTAATGGTTTAGTGGCCTGTTCTCAATGTCTTTCAGAGAACTGTTGGGGAATTTCCATAACTTAATGGCTAATGCTTCTTGTCTGACTTACCCTAGCCAGCTTATAGGGCTTAGGATACCCCTTCTTTTGGATATAGAGCGATGTGACTTGAAAGATGATATTCTTAGAAACAATTTAGGATGGTATTAGAAGCCTCTTGATGAGGATTGCAAGCTCATATCTAGTGTCTGTCTGCTACCTGATGACAGGAGTCTTCCCTGCTGTGAACACAGTATCAGCAGGCAAATATTTCCACAAAAAGAGCATGCTGGTACTGGCAGATAAGATATTAAGATTTCTTGGCAACCTCTAGGAATTTCTGGTAGGAGATCCAATGGGAACCTCCTTGGACTTGCAAAGTATCAAGAGTTTGTGTGTTAGGAAGGCAGCAGGCTGTCTTGGGTAAGAAAACTGTTTTGACTGATACTCATCATAGTAAGCAGGGTAGCTGGCAGAGAATGACTAAAGTCTGAGTATGACATGAATTAGGTAGCCTACTTGGAAGCCAGGTGAAAATGTGTAGCTGAGATGCAGAGATGTTTTAATGTTTGGTGGAAAGTCCCCTGAACAGATGTTAAGCTCTAAGAAGAAAGATGGAAACTTCAGAAAATGGCAGTGTGCATTAAAATGTGTCTACAATGTAGATATATTATAAACTGAATCTGATTAATGTGGTGATAGATTGTCTATCCCTTTCTTAGCATATTTGGTTGCTGTTGTTACTATGGTGATTGAGTACAGCTTAGATTTCATTAAGCAAACAGGAGAACCTGCCAGTTCTTCAGCAAAGGCCTGATAAGGTAATTTCCTTCACCTCCTTGACAGCAATGATGCAAGTCAAGTACTGAAAATGGAAAAGTGGTCTCTTAAAACTCTGCTTTCTGGTAGTGACCATGATTCAGCTTGTATGTTAGCCTGGTTTCTAATGTTTGTGGTCTGATATCTGAGCATGTAGATGCTATCCCTCTTAGAGAGGGGGGGAAAAACCTACCTCTGTGTTGTGAGGTGAGATGCTATTTAAAATTTATAGGTTAACTCTAAGTAATAATCTTGTCTAGGGAATCTAACTGGTGCTCTAAGACACTGTGTTGGAGGTGTACTCCTGTTTGATTTTTCCATGCTGTAAAAATGATGGGCTGGCCCTGTAACACTTTCAGTTTGACACAGCGGTGTCTTTATGGAGGGAAATATAATATTATCATTTCTCTTTCTGTAATAAGCATAGGTCTAAGGATAGTACAGAAACCCATTTGTGTGTGATTTTAAGTAATTGTGTCTGTACAAGTGTGTGAGACAGAAGCTGGCTTGCCTGTGAAAGACAATTACTGTTTTAAGGCTGAAGCAGTGATATGAGATAAGTGATATAAATCTGGCTTCAGTAACGTATTTAGATAATGATAGTCAGATAATACTCTACACAAGAAGAAGAGCAGTAGGTTCTGCATCTTTGGTTCCCTCTCAATTGTCAGTGTACTTAGTATTTTCTAGTTCAGGTGAGACAGACCACACAGTATATGCAAGTGCGTATCTTATTCATTGGATATGCCACCTGGAGCATCAAACTGTTTTTCATGGTATTTTTGCCTTGATTCTGAATCCTGAGTTTCTTCTGGAGTGCATGAGTTTGTGGTCAAAATTAAAAATGTCTCAACAGTGAAACAATGTCCCCCTCTTTCCTGCTACATATCTTTCAGGAAGGAAGATTGCTACTGTGACTCTTCAGTCCCAAGCCTTGATCAAAACAGTAGGGCCTGTCAACTTGCTGCATTAAGTGTTGTTTTGGGGGGCCACAGATATGGCAAAAAGTGGTAGAGACTAATTTATCTCTTGTACAGTGACAGTTTGCCTCACAGCTTCAAAGCAGCAATTGGAAATTGGAAGAAACCCAAGACAAGCTTAGTCAAAGATGACAGAAATCTCTTAAAGGCAAGAGGAACAAAGGTCTCTCCCAGATGCAGCAATGGAAGTTTAATGTCTCCATGACACTTAGAGTAGGAGGAAGAGCTATATGAGAATTAAAACTAAAACGTTTGAAAAGCATCAACAGTATGTAATTGTGGATTTTGTTGCTGTGTACCTTTCTGGAGTGTCAGGTAAGTTCTACTGCCTCCAAATTTCAGATTAAATTTTGAGTATCTTTTGCTCTGAGGTAACCTTCATTAGCAAACAGATTCTTTGCTAATAGCACACACACCTTCATTAAGCTCTGTTCAGCCTCTGCTTGAAGGGTCTTGGTAGTAGGGATCTGCTCCTTCTGTAACTGTCACTAACTGGCAGATGACATACCATTATAGGAGGCCAAGTTTGAAATAGACTAATCTAGAATTAGAATGACTTTCCATTTCTCAGCAGATACTGCCTTATTGCTTGCAATGTCTTGGTCTAGTATCCAGAATTCAAGGCCTCTATCAGGAATGCATGGAGGATATTTCCTTGCCCTATCCATTACCCATTCCTTTCAAGGCTTCCCTGGTGCTATCCTAATTTAAAGTCAAGTGAATCTGATAAGGATCTAAGAAGACATTGAGCTGTTGATGTGTGTGACACATAATACTTGCAAATTGAATTATATACTAGCGCATTCCTTCTGCTAACTGTACAGATTATGCAGCTGTACAGAGCAAGGAAAAGAAGAGTGAAGTTGGTTCCTTAAAAAGCAAGCTCAGATCTTGCTCTGTTCTCTAACAATAACTCTATTGAACTCCAATTCAAAGTGACTGATGCCAAATAGTGCACTTAAATATATATATATATTGCTGTTGTAAATGAAGCTGTAGTCAAAAACAGCTCTTAAAGGGACTCATATAATGTAAGTAGCAATGTTAGTCAAATGTTACTCTTGATTTGCCATTTGAATTTAAAACAGAGAAATGATTGCTGGAGCAATCAATTCTAGCTCTGCCATAGGAAGGCTCTGCAGGAGGATCTGAATAGGCTGGACCGATGGGCTGATGTCAACTGCACGAAGTTCAACAAGGCCAAGTGCCAGGTCCTGCATCTGGGGCACAATAACCCCAAGCAGAGCTACAGACTGGGAGAGGAATAGTTAGAAAGCTGCCTGGCAGAGAAGGAGCTGGGAGTATTGGTTGATAGTCGACTGAATATGAGCTAGCAGTGTGCTCAGGTGGCCAAGAAGGCCAGCAGCATCCTGGCTTGTATAAGAAGCAGTGTGGCCAGCAGGGCTAGGGAAGTTATTGTCCCCCTGTAATCGGCTCTGGTGAGGCCGCACCTCGAGTACTGTGTTCAGTTTTGGGCCCCTCACTACAAGAAGGACATGGAGGTGCTTGAAAGAGTCCAGAGAAGGACAACAAAGCTGGTGAGGGGCCTGGAGAACAAGTCTTATGAGGAGCGGCTGAGGGAGCTGGGCTTCTTCAGCCTGGAGAAGAGAAGGCTCAGGGGCGACCTTATTTATTGCCCTCTACAGGTACCTTAAAGGAGGCTGTAGCGAGGTGGGGGTTGGTCTGTTCTCCCATGTGCCTGGTGACAGGACGAGGGGGAATGGGCTTAAGTTGCACCAGGGGAGTTTTAGGTTAGATGTTAGGAAGAACTTCTTTACTGAAAGGGTTGTTAGACATTGGAACAGGCTGCCCAGGGAAGTGGTGGAGTCACCATCCCTGGAAGTCTTTAAAAGATGTTTAGATGTAGAGCTTAGGGATATGGTTTAGTGGGGACTGTTAGCGTTAGGTCAGAGGTTGGACTCGATGATCTTGAGGTCTCTTCCAACCTAGAAATTCTGTGATTCATGGCTGTAAGAGGCAGTTGGGTATTACACTTCATGCATTTTAATCATGAAACAAGAGCTACTCCTAGATCAGATATTAATAATCTCTTCTAAGGTTGAATACTGTTATTGAAAATGTTGGTGTACACAAATGATGGATTCAAATCTGTCTTCTGGTAAACATTTCCACTTAAACACCAATGCTTGCATCTTGACACGATGTCTATGCCAATGAGTCTATCAGATGGTGGAAACCAGTAGCATCAAGCCCCTAAACTATTAGTTAACATATTAGTAGCACTAAATCCCTAAACTCCTTCAAATTACTCAAACTATTTTTTCCTGGAACTCTTCAGGAGTGAGTGCAAGATTTAAATAGCAAATTATTAAACTAAAAAGTGTTTTACCATTTAGCAGGTTTTTTTTTGTTTTTTGTTTTTTTTTTTAAATCTTTTGTCTTCCCCTTCACATGGGGGTGCCTCTCACTGGCACCTGAGTTTTAGACTCATTCTGTTGGGAGACTTGGAAGGGCAAAGGCAGGACTAATATGCTGCCATGTCCTGGAACCTCTTCCTTCATCTGAAGAAAACAAGCATATCTCCAAGCCTCTCTCTGTTGAAGAGTGACTGAAAATTCTGCTGGGCATAAGGAAAGTTCCTGTGCTTAGTTTGGACCTAATGTACCCTTTGACTGTTTTACTCTTCTAGGTGTCTAGTTGCACTAGCCTATGTGCTGACATGTTGGACTGTGCTGTCACAAACTGTCTGCATGCTTGCAAGAGACAGCATCCAGATTACTGCATTAAAGCTATTGTTAATGCTATTCCCTTGTGGCAATTTACAAACAAGCAAAGATTAATTCTTTCTGCCTTCACTGTTGTAATTAGTTGTTTCTCTGTTGGCCTACGCTATCAATTTTGTCAGGGGCTAGCTTGGAAAAACATTTGTAAATAACTGTATGACCAAGCCCACACTGTATCTAGCATCACATGAAGATAGTGTTATTGTAGGAATTGATACTGAAACTTCCTGACTGCCGAATTTGTGATAGAAAGTTTATCCTATTTTTGTGTTGCTTTCCTTGATACGGTGAATCACGTAGAAGCATAATTTACAACCTATAAAGAAGGTTGTCTGCTGCTATTAAATTCAACAGCCATGATGAGAGGTACTGAGATGCAGTCAAGGTAGCTGCCTCTGCTCTAAGGAAAGGCATCAGGATGTAATCTGGAGCAGGTTTTTACCAAGACAGAATGTTTTCCTAGACAAAGATGTGTGTTTTTGGAGAGAATTGCTTGAATGTTATAAGAAACTAGTTCTCAGACTTGCATGGAGATTCATTAAGCATTCAACTATACTGGAGACTTCTGTATATTGAAAGAAAATTTCCCAGAACCGTCTGTGTTGGACTTCACACAAATCCTGATTTGCATTAACCTTGGAAAAAGCAGAGCTTTGTATAACTCATAGCACACCTAAAACATGCCTGAGGAAAAACATGTAAAACTTGCCCATTCATCTTTACTATTTCACAGTGGTATATGCTGCTACAGAAACACTTAGTGTCCCCAGATTCTGCCTGTGCTCTTGCAGGAATGTACCCAAAGTGCTCTTGCAGTAAGTGTGAAGCTAAGCAACCATTTTTCAGCAGAAAGAACTCTCATGAGAAATCTTTAAAGGGCAAAACCACCTACTGACAAAGAGTAAATGTTCTGTACAAAGCAATTGCTTTCTCTATTCCTAGACCTGTAGGTCTCTTACTGCAAACATATCCAAAGACGAGCCTAGAAGCTAACATTAATGATGCTACTAGATGCCAGTAATATAGACTCAGTAGGCTTATGGTGCATTAGAATCTGTGACCAGCAGGAGATGTCTTTGCAACCAGTCTTTGTTCTCCTGAGGGTGAAGTTACCTTGTAAGTTTTCTTTCTTCCTCTCCCTCATCACCTCACCTTATTCCACAGGGATGCCAAATACCATTGCTTACAAAAATGACCTTAGTTATCTTTCTAGCTGAACTCAGAGCAATGCATTTCTATGCTTGTATTTAGCTTTGAAAGCTGCTGCTTTTAGAAAACAAAAGTTGTATACCTTTTCCAGTCATATGGGTTGTTCAGTAAGTTATTACTTTAAGCTACAAATATTGCGCTGCCTGTGGTCTTGACCAAACTTGTTTCTTAAGCTCAGCCATTTTCCTTGGATAGCACAAGTAACAATTCCTCTAGTGTTTCAGTTGCCATTCTAAGCCCAAACTAAATGACTTAGTTATGCAGTCTCTCTTTGCATCAAGTAGAACTCTGTGGTTTCTTCAGGTGGCCTCTATTTTTTTTTCCCTCATGAATCTTTATAGATATTTTTGTTTCCATTAAATACAGGCATTGACTTCTGCCCATTATTAGACAAAGATCCCTTTGGTTAAGAAATATCAGCAGGCTTGGAGCCTCTGGGCATGAGGAGATGGAAGGTCAAAAGCACCTAGATTGTGTAGAGCTAGTTTTAAGGTTAAGTAGGTTTAGACTTAGACATCGTGCTCTAGTGTGTATTCCTGCCGTGCTACACCTAGTTCATATGATTCAAAGTCATTATTCAGAGGTGCCTGAATTGTGACAGATTACTGTTGTGTGTGCCATGGAAAGTCATTTATCTGGGAAATTACTCAGCACTGCTCATTTGGTGTCTCATCTTTGTGAGACAGCAGGATAAACTTCAAATTAGTATGTATTACTCTGTATATAGTAACGTATACTCTGCATGTAGGCCATACAGTGGACTTCAGTGGAATTCAGATGAATGGGGGAGTGCTGTGAACCAGTTTATCAGATTTGAGTGTAAAGTCATGTAAGGAGTTACCATTATTTTTATTTATTCTTCCGGTCTATAGGATTTGTCTGCTAATCCTTCCACTCATCTTAGTGGAATTCTTTTTTTGTTTGTTTGTTTTCAGTACCTACATGTGTTATTTTTTTTTAATTGCTGTTTTCTTACTTCTTCTTTTTTACACTTCTGGTAGAAGATCACTGATGGAGAGAGCTGTTTCTAGGTGACATTTTTATAAAACATTGTGACACTCATTGTTGTCTCAATGACTTACAATGCGTTTTAGCTCATCTAGCTACAGAGGATTTCAGCATTTTAAATTTATAATTAAAGGGGTTGTTATATTTGGCTTCCATAACGAGAACCATTTGAACAGTTTCCTTATTTAGTATACATATAATTGACAATGTGTAGGGGGATTTTTTTTTTTAATACAAAGAAAAATGGCCTCTTGTGAAAAGGGTGTGAAATATTTTTTTTTTCTCCTCATCTCTGCAGCTGCAAAGAAAGCTCTAAACTTGTAGAGAAAAAGTTGCAATTATGCTCCAGGGACTGGGGGGTGCATGAGGGAAAAATTTAGTCTGCTAAGCAAGCTACTCCCTGGGTCACTTTGCTCTGTTATGCTCACAATATATCAGGCGCCATATGCACCATAAAGAGAGAAATCCTGAATAAAGACTGATATTTGTTCTTTGTCTTATCCAAGTCATCACCTTAATCATTTGCATTTCAGTTCTGCTGGATACCAATCTAAAACCTTTCTGGCAGCCTAATTTAGACCAGTCTGGGATTTGCTTTTTGCAGATGCTATGATAATAACCAGAGTGCTGCTTTAGTATTCTTGTGCTGCTGTTTGGTTTGTAAGGTGTAGGTTGCTGTTGTTTATTCTGCTGTTTGACCTTCTGCTTTTTAATCTTGTTTTTCAGCTGAATCTGCCCAGGCTCTAGCTTTGTAGAAGAATAAAAAATAAAAATAAAAAATGAAGCAGGTTGTTACCTTCAGATGAAATGTGGGCTTCAGTGAGATAATGATCTGAACTGCTGGGTGTCAGCCAGCAATGCTGTTGCTGTGCTCTGTATTAACACTTCAGTAGAAGTCATTCCAGTTACCTGCTGTTTATTGGTGCTGTCAAGGCCTCAAGACCGACCACTTGAGCACTGGATGTTTTACAGGAATTTGGATGGTTTCAACACACTTGTTTTACAGTAGAACAAACCCGAATCTGTTATACAGTTTTACAAAACAGAACTGCATTGAAATATTCACTAGAGGAGCTTGTATGATGGTTGTGTGACCTGAGAGCTTTTGACTTTGGAAACCTCTGACAGAAAACTTGCTGAAATAGGCTTCTTCATGAAATGCTTGGATGTGAGATGCTGTCCAGAATAAATGGCACTTTGTCACCAAAATAAAGAGCACACATTGAGAGACAGACATTTGTTTATGTGAATGAAGTACAGTGATTGAGTAGTAAGGAAATCTGACACGGTGAGTCAAATTTAACCAAAAATATTGAGTTAAGTTTAGACAGTGCAGAGCAATTGGAGGCTGCAGTTAGCTTGGCTTCTTGCTGAAATACTTCAGCCCATATGAATGCTACGGTCAGCTTTGACATCTTGACCTACCACTGTTTTGCAATCCGTGGGAAGATGCAAGTTTTGTTAAAGGACTGTTTCTGGGAGTCTTGTGGTCTAGCCTACACCAGGCGATCTTCTGGCATCCTTGTGTTGTGCCCTAACTTCTAGCAGTAGAGTCACTCTTCCAAGAGTGAGTGAGAATGCACTTACGTTCACTTTCTCTTCTTCCCTCATTCTCTCACTCATTCCCTCCAACAACTTTATCTGCATTGCAATATGAAAATAATCAGAGTTTCTGATTCTTTCCAAATAAAAAAGAAAAAAGATATAGCTGGACTTTAAATCTGCCTAGTCTTGATTTAGATTTGGACTATGTGCTTGAGGAGTGGAGAATGAGATTTTTCAAGCACAGAATTGTCAATGTGAATCTAGTATTGGGGTAAGAGGGAGGAAACATTTTAATAGAATTTTTGAATCCTCTCTCCAGCAAAGAAGTACATGGTCCCTGTCTTCTTAATAGTTTTCCCAGTTTAACAAAGAAGATAAATCTTAGCACTCTGGTATTTCTAACTCTTTAAAAAACAAACAAATTTTTATCTATGGGTTTTTCCCTTCACACGTTCCCTCAGATCTGTGAAGATGCTTTGCATCTTTGAAAATATATTAGAGCTTTGCCAGTAATGCAGACAGAAAATGAGTCATGAAGGCTATTTCACTGTTTGCCTGCTGTTAACACCCTTGTGTCCAGCCAGACTTAGGATTTCAATCATCTTTGTTTACAACATATCAGTTGCTTAAAACAGCCCTCAAAGCTCTCACCTTCTTCCCTCTTCATTCTCAGTGACCTCAGCTCATTTGCCTCAGTACAACGAAGTGAAGTTCACTTGCACTTGAACCTCTGGTATGGAAACCAGGGCAGTGGGTTGGATTCTGGGCAAACTTCTCCACAAAGAGTGGGAATGGGGTGTGCTGCCTTCCATATGGAAAATCTGTCTGCTGGGTGATAGCTGGAGAGTAACTGTATGTCTGCATTGACTTTCCCTTTTCCTGTGAAATAAGCATAACCACATTCCCTGATTAGGATACTTATTTGTTCACAGTCTTCTTAAGGTGCATCATCATCCTTGGCTAGGAGTAGGGCTGAGCGTAAAAAAAATAACTTGTAAATGGAGAAAGGCAGAGTAGCTATTTTCTGTAGTTTTGTTATACAGCTATGGTAACAACTGGTTCTGACGGGGGAAAAAAAAAGCTTGTGTAAATAGAAAGGAAGAAGAGTGCTTTACTCATAACCTCAAAAAATAAAAATTTCTTCAGTGCAGAACTGTCAACATGCAGTACTATATTTTTATTTCTTTTTAACCTTGAAACACTCTAGTTCCTTATGCTGTTGGATTTTTGTGCTCTGAGATACCTGAAGTAATTTCTTGCTATGCATGGAGAATATGATTAAATAACATAGATTTAAGTTCCAAAAAAGGTTTCACATGCTCAATGATGGCAAAAAGCCAGTCTGAATGTATGCTGTTTTTATTACAATCTAATGCATTGTCAAATGAAATTCTGCTACCATTTGTGACAATTTTTTGTCTGCCCAATTAAAATAATTCAATATAACAAATTGAGGTTATACAACTATTTTCATGTGAAAGACTGTTTTCAAAGTCAAAGCTCTGAAACATGGAGGCTGAGGAACTTGAGTGGCCTCAAGGAGGTGACTGTCAGCTTCCAAGCTGATAATTCTCTCTACTCCTCAGAAAAAAAAAACAACTTGGTTTTCTTTCTTTTTTTTTATATATATAGAATCACTCTGTTATTTTTATTCTTCTTGAGAGAAAGTGTAAGACAAGACTGTTTGCTTCAAGCCCTATACAATTAAATTCTGATGTGAATCTCTTACTCCCTACTAGATTTTCTAGCAAAATAGAGAGTTTTAAAGTCACTTTGTTATACCTATCTGCATATAAACTTTGGATTTGTCTTGCACTTCCAAAAATCCCAGCTACAATCAGGGTCAGCAAATATTAATCTCACCCTTTTATTTATTCATTTATTTTTGCAAACTCCTTTGGATTAGCTTGCATCAGTATCTATACTAATACGTGGTTGTGCTCTAGGGGACCAAATGCTAGGAAGGATTGTTAAGCCATGTTTTTAGCATTACAACAAGATTTGTTGCTGTATGTTGTCCATCAATTCCCTCAAGTCTCTTCAAATGAATTGCTAGAGTGTATTAACATCTGTGCTCAAGTTCACTTCCTTTTAGGGGTTTGAAATTAATTGTTAATCAATTTCCTTATAGTGGGGCTTCATCCTAATTTCCCTGCTGTGCATTTGTAGGGCAGGCTGGCCGTCACCTGGTTTGCAGGGTGTGGGAATTGGCTCCCTTCCTGGCCAGCCAGGAGCAGGGGCACTGACAGCCTTCACTGTGCAGCCAGCTCTGTGGTCAGCACTTCCCATCAGCCTCTTCCTAGCATGGACCACGTACTGGTGCCAAATCCTGGAGTGGGTGGTGGGTCACCCTCAGCAGGGTGGGCTTTACAGAGATGAAGGTGAATACTTCACAACATAGATTTTTATGGATGTAATGAATCCTCAGAAGAGTGACTGTGGTTCAGCAGGGATAGATAACTGGGACAACTTACCATCTTCATGGCACCACTGGCATTACGGGGTGTCCTGTCAGAGAGGTGTGCACACCCATGTCTCAGCTGACCATACCCCTTGCAAGAGGTGACCTTGTTTCTGCTCGTGCCTCACAGCAGGAAGGTGGTTTGGTTTGTCTGACCTTCCACAGCCTTTTGGAGCATCTGTTGAGGAAGTGGTGAGGCCAGTAGGCTCAGCCTAGGTAGTTCCCAGGAGGAGTCCAAACCACTTCTTGCCATGGTGAGAGAGGAAAAGTAGGGAAGCTTTTGCCACCCAAGATAGCGATTAAAAGGGGCTGCTGCTGTGTGTGGTTGTGTAAAGAAATTTCAGTGTGGGGGCTGGTGGGAAAGCAAGTGTTGAAAGTGCAGTGGAAGACTAGAAAGTGAGTAGCATGGGGAGAAGAACTGTGGGGAAGAAGAATATGGTGAGAAGTGTGGGGAAGTGTGATGATACAAATATCAGTCTAAGTAGTACAGCTTCCCAAGACCGCATTTGCAAGGGGAGGTGTTGAAATGCCCCTAGGGGATATAATGCTCAGGCAGTTAAAAGGAGGGAGCCAAGTTTCCCTGGTTCTAGGCGTTCCATCTCCATAATCTCTGAAGGAGATAGAATTACTGAAGATGTCCCCATCCTGTTGCCATTAAGAATTCCTTTATTCCCCTCAACCTAGTACTAATATAATCCAGATTTTTATTAACCAGGAAACACTACCTGGATCTTCCTCCCCATTTTGTCCCTCTGTGAAGCATGTGGGTGTTTTTGACAAATTACCACCTAGTCATCAGCTGAAAAAATCACTTCCTTCCATGCTATTTTTCTCTATAAAGATTAACAGCTGGTAAACCATGGATAAAACTGCTAAGTATGAAGTAAGTCTCCAGAAATCCTTAATCTAGGTAACATCTCCACTAGATGTGAGTAAACAGCTTTACTTCATTCAATATGTATTTGAAACAATGTAAGTGTGATAGAATTTTTAATGAAACTACTGGGAGTAGGTAGTGACTTGCTAATGTAGCTTAGTAGAGTGATGAAAGAATTTTTCCTGAATAAACAGGGAAAAATGTATTATCACTTCTTTCTGCAGAAAAAATAAAGCTAATCCAAAGATTTTGAGGTAGTCCTTCCTTTTTTTTCCATTGACCTAGTTGTGTTACAATTCTTGTTCTTTTAGGCTAATCAGGAAGAATTGAGAGACCCTTCTACTTGACTTAAATCATTCTTTTTGTTATCAAATATAGAGTAAATTTATATGGGATTCCTCAGATATCTAATCTGAACTTCTCCAGAACTGAGAACTTTGCCCAGTGCTGATGCCGCTTTATTTTCTTTTTGGCCATTTGTTAAGGATTTCCAAATGTACAGGAAATTCATGAAACTTATTTTATATGCCCTGAAAGGCTAATATCTTAATCTAATAGAGAGCTCCTATTAGACTAAAATTCACAGTAACTTTTCAGATATGTTTTTGGTCATATTGTTATAGTACAAGGATGTGTTAGCTTTAATAGCTGCATTCTTGATTTGTTTGTCAAGGATTCTGCTTTCAGTTTTCTGTTTTTTTTTTCGTTTGTTTGTTTTTTTCTCCCCTTCTCTTTCACTTGGTGTCATGGCAAAACATATCCTAAGAGCATAGAGGGCCAGGGAAGATAGAGAAGCTATGGCTGACTGGTAGGGGTGACAGGTCTCTGAAGCTGGACACTGGGAGGGAGGAGAAGAATTAGAGGTGACATGGAAAGGCATTGGGCATTTGCTATAAATAAAATACACACGTAGTCACTTCCTCATGACATCTCAGTCATCCTGAGGTGATGATATCACAAATGAAGTTGTCTGTAGACAAAGGAAAATATTAACTCTGATCAAAAATTTCAGTTGTGCTGCTACAAAGCAGTTGTAGCAGTGAGATTGGCAGAGAGCCATTGTTTTCTTCAGACAAAAGTGTGTCCAGGAGGACGAGTGTCATTCATTTTTGGTGGCAGTGACAGATGCCACTATTTTTTTCTTCTCCTTGTGCCGCGTTTCTTTTTGCCAGTGACCTGACTGCATCAGGCAAAGATCTGGGCAACAGGCAACATGTTGTTATTTGTAGATGAGCTGGAATGGAGTGAGAGAAGTAGATCAGGAGGAAAAGTGGGAAGAGAAATGTGTTTGTGTTAGGCCTTAGATATGTGGTGCTGTCAGGGCCTGAGTGGTGTGCTGCATTCCCTGTAGGGGACAGACAAGAAGGCTATGTGGCACATCCTAGACTGATCCATAAAAGGGCTTGTAAGAAATCAAAGCTCTAGGGCATGATTATACTTTGAACTATGTGTATAGTATGGTTCTATACCACACTCCAGATATTGTGAAGTAAAGCTTTTGAGGTGCATACACTGTACAGGTACAGCTCTTGATGAAGAAATGTGATTATATATCTGTGTATTTAGGTGCAGCTACATTTGTATTTTTCACAAAATGGCAGGAAATGTAATCATTATTTTGTTGAAACAGCAGTATCTCAAACAGGAAATTACATCCACAGATTCAGAAAGAGCAAGAGATGTTCAGCTGCAACATACCAATACTGATGGACTCTGCTAGCTCACAGTCCCAGGCAGAACTACACTTACACATATATGTTACATACTAGCTTCAAGTATGGCTGTGCCATGTAGCTAAAGGACAAAAATGATTCACAAATCTAAGATCTTTCTCATGTCACCTTTTAAAAATGATTCAGCAAGATTTGGCTGAGTCTCTAAGATGAACAGAATTCAGTAGAACACCACCATAAACACTTTACAGTGTTATTAACAGTGGCAAAGTGAATTTCCATATAAAACAGGGAAATAACTAGATTAAAAAGTCATGGCTTATATAAAATGTCTTTAACTGGGTTTTCTTTGACATTCATCCTTTCCCACAAATTAAGCAAATCAGATGACTAGAGGTCTGCATGTAGGAAGGTGTTACAGAGATGTTTACTTTCAGTGTTCTTTATTTGTTAACAGAATCTGTCTCCTTGATGTTAAATCATACATACCCACATGTGTTTTCGCCACAGCAATCTTTATAAAACACTGTGAATTCCAGGGTGAGTGGAACTGAGTTATGTTACGTGTAAATGCATTCCTAGGTGCATTAGGAGTGGATTAGCAGATCAAAGCAGCAAGTGAAATCCTAATTCAGGCCAAATGCTAGTCTATGATTCAAGTCTGTTTGGATCAAAACTTTCTCAGTTCCTAGGTCATTTGGTTCTGGCTTATTTTGAACTTTAATTGCTTTGAACCTGTGATGATGGGAGACATCTAACATGGTTCTTGTGGTGGTGGTTGTTGTTTACTTCTGTTACCATTTGAAACAAAGCTGTTGTTAAACTACAGAACAGGATTCCTTAATATCACTCTGAAACATAATGAAAAACAATCTACATAAGTATACAGTACTGTTTTATGCACACAGTAAATTATCTAAATATTTGTAAACATTCACAAACCACTGCCATACCTGCCATGTTTTTGTAATTGCAGAAGAGCAACATACCTTGCAGAAACCTTTGTAGTCATCAGTGAAATCAAGATAGGTAGCTTTGGGAGTCTGGCAAAACACAGAGCCAGAGTTTCTGACTTTTAGTCCCCTATCCTGCTTTAGTCACATGCTTTGTGAAGAAAGACAAGGTAGAATCTGACATTGTTTCATGTGATGCAAATGGCAAGATACTTACTTGCCAAGATCAACCAGTGAAAAACTAATGTTATGACTGAGAAGAGGTAGATTTAGATTTGAAGCTGTATCAACATCAAAAATCAATAATTGCTTGTAAAACCTAGCTTTATGTTTTAGAGCCTGTTTTCTTTGATACAGGACAGAGTCTACTACAAAAGTACAGACCATGAGCTGAAATTTGAACAACTACTATGTTGGTTATCCAGTGACTTCTTGGTATAGGGAAGAATTTAAGATACCTTGAATTGATGATTTAGTAGTTTCTAAAACAGAATGCT